GCCGGGCACCGTCGAAGCCTTCGTCACCGAGGCGACAAACATCGAGCGCGCCCTCCAAGCGCGCGCTTCCCACTACCAGCGACATCCAAGTGTCGCTGCAACCGCGCTGCTTGGCGGCGAGAACGCTCCTGGTACGGACATCCGCGAAATTATCCGGGAGGTCGTCCGGGAGGAACTCCGCCAGTTGCTGCCAGCCGCAAGTCGTCCAGCGACACTCTCTATTGCCGAGGCTGTGCGCGAGGAAGCACAACGGGCGCTCCAACCAGAGGTTCCCGTCACCACGGTGGCACCGGAGGAACCGACGTTGAGCTACGCTGCCATAGCCCGACGAACGCCGCAAGCTCCCCGCCAAGCCGCGGCGCCACACCGAAGAGACGCCCCAATGCCGCAATATCCCCGACGACAGGAAGATCAGGCGCACGTTCACCCAGACCGACCTGCGCCGAGGAAGACAGACGTCTGGAGGACGGCCGACCGACGCCCGCTGCGTTACCACTGCGGGGAAGCTGACCATGCGTACCGCCGATGCCCATACCGACGACTCAGGCTGCGCGGATTCCACCCAAGCGTCCCGCGCCCCAGGTATGCTGAAGGCCCTCGGGAGATCGACGAGTTCTTGCGACGACCCCAGTCCCCCGAGCCTGGGTCCCGCCGAGAGTTCCGATCGCCTTCACCACGACATCCAGCTTCGCCGATGCACCGACCCCGACGTGAATTCACCACGACGTCCAGCTTCGCCGATGCACCGACCCCGACGTGAAAGCCTGTCGCCCCTCGCTCCACGCCGGGGAAACTAGGCGCGGCAACCCCTGGAGGTGGAGTTGCCGAAGACGACCGACGCCAAGATCCTCCACGAACGTCGGAGGGCCCCCACTGGAACGCTACCGGAGACCGAAACGACGCTCCTGAAACGGTGTCCAACAACCTAAACGTCATCATCGACGGCCACGACGCATCGGCACTCGTGGACACCGGAGCAGACTACTCAGTTTTGAGTGGGAGGCTCTCCCGCCGCCTTCGAAAAGTCACGACGCCGTGGGATGAACCTCAAATACGAACCGCCGGAGGGCACCTCATCACACCAGTCGGGAGGTGCACTGCTCGCGTCGAGATCCACGGTGAGACGTGCCCTGTGAAGTTCGTCGTTCTGAAAGACTGTTCGAGGGACGTTATCCTCGGAATGGACTTTCCCTGCGAGTATGGCGCCGTCATCGACCTCGCTACAAACCAGTTGACGCTTCGAAAGCCCGTCGTGCCGACGGTGGAGATCAACACGACGTCAACCGCGATCCGAGTTATCACCGACCATGTGAACCTACCGCCGCGGTCGAGTGTTTTCGTCACCGTTATAACCGACGCAGCCATGCACGGTGAAGCTCTTCTGGAAGGCAGCGTCCAACTGCTCCTCGAAAAAGGAATTGGTGTCGCAAGAGGCGTGACGGATCTCCAAGAAAGACGTGCAACTGTTCTTGTGACGAACTTTCGAGAGGAGCCGCAGCACCTAACGAAGGGTACCACCGTGGGCCACATCGAGGAGCTTCAGGCGCCAGCCGTGGTCACCGCAATCTCGGAGGAAACCTCGTCGCCACAGCAGAAGAGTACGACGCCGCCGCCGCCAGACATCGACCCCGAGCTCCCGGCTCCGAAGCGCCGGCAATTGGTTGACCTCCTCGCCGAATACAGTGACTGTTTTGCCACGACATCGAAAGTTCGCCAAACACCAATGGCGAAACATCACATTATTACTGACGACGACGCACTCCCTGTCCACCAGTCGCCGTATCGAGTCTCCTTAAAGGAGAGGAAAGTGATTCAAGATCAAGTCCAGGAGATGCTCGACGACGACATCATTCAACCCTCAAGAAGTCTATGGGCGTCCCCAGTCGTCCTTGTAAAGAAGAAGGATGGGACCCTGCGGTTCTGCGTGGACTATCGTCGACAGAACGCTGTGACGAAGAAGGAAGTCTATCCACTCCCCCGCATCGACGATACGTTAGACCGACTGCGCCACTCCCAATATTTTTCGTCGATGGACCTGAAGAGTGGTTACTGGCAGATTGAAGTCGACGAACGTGACCGGGAGAAAACTGCCTTCGTCACTCCCGACGGACTGTACGAATTCAAAGTGATGCCGTTCGGACTTTGTACAGCACCAGCCACCTTTCAGCGTGTCATGGACACCGTGCTGGCAGGTCTGAAATGGCAGAGCTGCCTCGTCTACCTGGACGATGTCGTGGTATTCACACGAGATTTCGACGAACACCTCAGACGACTTCGATCCGTGCTTCAAGCCATCAAGACCGCCGGCCTGTCACTCAAGCCAACAAGGTGTCGGTTCGCCTATGGGGAACTAAAGTTCCTCGGCCACGTCGTGAACTACAAAGGTGTTCTACCTGTCTCCGAGAAAACCCGCGCCGTAGCTGCATTTGCGCAGCCGTCTGACAAAAAGGCAGTAAGAAGATTTCTCGGACTCTGCCTGTTACAGGTGCTTTGTTCGAGACTTCGCCAAACTATCCGCACCGCTGACACACCTCACGAAGGACGCCGTAAAGTTCGAGTGGACAGAACACCAAAGGTCATTCGACGAGCTCAAACGAAGACTCCAGACGCCCCCGATTCTTGGCCATTTCGACCAGTTTGGTGAAACCGAGATCCACACCGACGCCATGTAACACCGGACTGGGTGCGGTACTAGTCCAAGTGCAGGACGGTGCAGAGCGAGTTATCGCATACGCAAGTGGGACGCTGTCTAACGCGGAGACGAACTATTCAACGACTGAAAAGGAGTGCCTTGCTGTCGTCTGGGCAATAACAAAGTTTCGCCCATATTTGTATGGAAGTCCTTTTCGCGTGGTCACAGACCACCACTCCCTCTGCTGGCTGGCGAATCTGAAAGACCCCTCCGGACGCCTCGCTCGGTGGAGCCTACGACTGCAGGAGTTCGACATGACCGTGGTGTACAAGTCCGGCCGGAAGCACAATGATGCCGACTGCCTGTCGAGGGCCCCAGTCGAGGCCGGTCCTTCCTGCACCAAAGAGGACGACGATGAGTGTTTTCTCGGCGCTCTGGATGTCAGCGACATGGCACCACTCCAGCGAGACGACCCTGAGCTGCGAGCACTCATCGAGCACCTAGAGGGACAAGGAAGCGCCGTTCCGCGGAGTTTTGTACGAACACTGCCAACCTTCTCCATCCGACAAGGTGTGCTCTACAAGAAGACCTTTAGCGACAACAGCACGGCGTGGCTGTTGGTTCCAGTCTTCAAGAAGAAATTTTTCAAGCCTGCCACGATGACCCGACGGCGGGACACCTTGGTTACAGCAGGACTCTTGCCAGGATACGCGAAAAATACTACTGGCCCAAGCTTGCGAAGACTGTGCACCACTACACCCGATCTTGCCACGAGTGTCAACGACGGAAGAAGCCACCGACGAGACCGGCAGGACTTCTTCAGCCTATTGCGCCGCCATCTGCCCCATTCCAGCAAATCGGTATGGATTTACTCGGACCTTTCCCACAGTCGACGCAAGGAAATCGATGGATCATCGTCGCAACCGATTATCTCACGCGGTACGCCGAGACCAAAGCCCTTCTATCAGGAACGGCTGTTGAAGTCGCGAAATTTTTCATCGAGTCCATCGTCCTCCGGCACGGCGCTCCCGAAGTACTGATCTCAGACTGTGGATCATCATTCATGGCCCAGCTGACGCAGGAAGTCCTTCGTCTCAACCACACCAGCCATCGTCGCACCACGGCGTACCACCCGCAGACCAACGGGCTAACGGAGAGACTCAACAAGACCATCGCCGACATGATCTCCATGTACGTCCACGTGGAGCACAAGACATGGGACGAGGTGTTGCCGTACGTCACATTTGCCTATAACACGGCCGTACAAGGGACCACCGAAGTGACACCCTTTCAACTGGTGCATGGGCGCAAGGTAACGACAATGCTGGACGCTATGTTACCCCACGAACCGGCAGTCGACGCAAGCGACGACGCCCAGGTGGTTGCCCAAAGGGCAGAAGAAGTCCGTCAGCTCGCCAGACTCCGGATTAAGGCTCAACAACGTGTCGACGCTGGCCGCTACAACCTTCGTCGTCGGGACGTCCACTTCCAGCCCGGAGAGAGGGTGTGGGTATGGACACCGATCCGCCGCCGTGGTCTCAGCGAGAAACTCCTGAAACGCTACTTTGGACCCTACAAAGTGCTTCGTCGACTCGGTGATCTGAACTACGAGTTGATGCCAGACGGAACACGGACTTCCTCACGCCGCCCTCCACGACCGGAAGTCGTCCACGTCGTGCGACTGAAGCCGTACTACGCTCGATAGGACTGTGGACCCTAGGTGTTCCAAATGACTCTTTAGTTTACCGTCCTTTTTATTTGCTTTGCTTTGTTTTTGTGTTGCATCGGGACGATGCACTTTTTTAAAGGGGGGAGTAATGCCGCGCGCGCAGCTGGCCAAGCAGGCAGCGCGCGCGTGGCCTAACGGTTATCGTGCTTGCTTCCCACGCTGAAAGCCAGGGTTCGATTCCTGGCCGCGGAGACGCATTTTTGTTGACATTGTAATGTAAGGTTCTGGTGAATTCAAGAACCGTCTTGCTGATTCGAGGTTAGAATGTTCCACGCGCCGAACCTTCTACGCCGAACGTTCCAGAAACCCACGAGGGTACATAAGGGATTCCGCAAGGCAAGCCGAGTCAGTCTCGCCCCAGCGTTCGACTCTGCTGTTACGCCGACTTCGACGCCCGCGACGCTCTGTTATTATCTTTTGTACCCTTTTATTTTTGGCACAAGTTCGCCACATTAAACGTTTATTTCTTCCTGTTTATTTATTGGTTTTTGGTCACCACCCGTGACAATATACGGAACCAGTATCGATGATCTTTAAACAGTATACCCTTCCTTTATTGCATACAGATAAAAGCAAGTTTGGAGCTTACATAAAACATTAGAAACTAAATTAAAATTCCTTCTAATTTTGTTTTGACAGGTGATTGGAGTACCGGACGAGCAGACAGTTGAACGAGTATGTGTCTGGATCAAACTGAAACCAAATAAAACCTTATCCCCAGAAGACATCAAGGCATTTTGCAAGGAAAAGGAGGTATTAGACAAGTTCCTACCTGTTGAGAGACTGCTTCAGTCTTCATCAGCATTCTGAATGCTTGAAGAGTGACCCTATATTCTACCCCAAACACGGCTGTAAAGAAACGCACCTGTACTCAAGACACAGACAGTCAAGCGTTGCCTCTAAGAGTAGGAACATATTACTCAACTTTCATTTCGATCTATGCATCCCGGAGCGTGTAGTGACACTCCTCCGACGTTCAAGGGCACGCCCTACAATGTCAGCTAAACCAATATAGTTTCGCAAGGCCCTATATCTTGAAAGATAATTCGGAGCCCAGAGTCAAGGGGAATAAACTTGTGAAAGCTTTCTACCATCAGGAGCTGGGATATAGTTAAGGTTGATAATCGCTTGAGGATAACAAAAATATTTATTCGATATTACAAATTATACAAACAAAATATTCTGAGTTCTTCTTTTTTTTGTTCAATGCACTTGCATAATTAAAACAAAACAACTTTATAATTTCAGTTGCACTGGTACAAGATACCGGAATACGTGCTGTTTGTGGACTCCTTCCCGAGGACTCAGACCGGAAAAGTCCAGAAGCAGAAAATGCGGGAGGACAGTGTGCGGCTCCTTAACCCGTGAAGAAAGATCAATGTGAAACAAAGAAACAAACGGAAAAATTTTTTTACTCTAAACAATTTTGTGTATTCACTGGCGTGGAAGCATTGTCTCACTGGAAGGAATACGCCATCGACCGCGAGCGCTGCTTCGTAAAACATTTAATAGCGCAGGAGGTTACCGGAGTGTTGCCGAGTATTTAACAAAACACAATAAAGAGGTATGATTCTTTTCTTTTTGTGTGTTTTTATAGTACTATTTTTAATAATTTTTATATCAACCCTAACTCTCTTCAGAAGTCAGTTGGCAACAGTAAAAGGTCACTTTGAGGCATGGAATTTTAAGTTTAGCACATTTTTTTTCTTCTGCTACTTCCACCTTTTCTTTTCTAAAGCCTACCCTCTACGTTTTTTATATTATTCACAGCGTTGCAAATTGCGTGTTTCGGGGCAAACAAACTCAGTCAGATTATCGAGTACTTAAACTACAAACTAACAGATTTTTCCTATCACAGAAGGTGCGCGTGGTGAAGTACCAAATAACTAAATAATATCAAACAAAACCAAGTGTATAAAAACAATTACTAAAACAATGGTTATACGAATATTCTTTTTACTGGTTTGCCACCTTCTGCCGTGATCTCATTTGTCGTGTTTGTTTATTCATCTAATCAGTCCTTTGCTTACCGTTCATTTTTGTCCAATTTGTGAGCTTTTATTGACCTAAATAATTATGATGAGCGTATAGGTAACAATTTTAATCGTGATTATCTCTATCCCAATCGCTCCCAATCGCCACAAGCAAAACGAAATCTGGAAAAATACCTTCTCTGACAGCTGGCTACAACACATAAACTCTCTTATTTGCGAAAAAAAAAGAAAGTTGCAATTTTTTAGAACAAAAAGTTAGCAGTGGGTAGAAACGAAAAAACGCCGGAGTCAAGACGCTTTGCAACCGGCACTTTGACCGGTTAAAAGTTTTGTACCAAGCAAATGATGCAACATGTTTTTGCACTTTCTTTCTCTCTGCCCTAAGGAGAGTTGCACCCCAGAGTTGTAATAAAATCGAGACCGAGTTTCTTTTGTTTTTCTTTTGTTTTTTCAATATAGTTTTTTTTTTGAAGATGTGTTTTTTTTTATAAATGATTTTTTTATGTTTGTTTTTTTATTTGGAGCCCATATTTTTCACAAATAATTTAGATGCCCTGGCCTATATTATGTGTAGCTTTCGAACTCGTTAATGCCATACAGATTGAGGTGATTGAGGTAGAAGGCCTGAAAGTTAGTGTGTTTGTTGCACTTGGTCTAAAGTTAGAATTTTTTATATATGTTTTAATTCATCAAGCACACGATATTTGCATGCAGTTGACTTACACTTCGGTGTTTTACATGAAACAGGAAACATTTTTGACGTACCGCTCTTTGCCTGCCTTCCACAGGAACGCAAAGTTGGCACCTAATGCAGTCCGCGGTGGGAGCGGGGCCGTCGCGCAATCCTAAAACATTTTTTTTCTCGTAGTGAAAACGCGGTTTCGAGACAAAAAAGTTCGATTCATTTGAGTGCGAATCACATATATAAAAACCAAAAGAAATAAAAATGTTGAGTGGAACTGCTGGTTCAATCTCTCGTGGAATCACCCTGTGGCGATTGCAACCAAAGCAGTTTACAAACTCACATTCCTGTCTGCCAAGTCCCGTTCCCTTGCGAGTCTTCGGACGGCTATAGCATGCTTTTCTTTCGAACTCCGTGCAGTCCCAAATCTTAAGTGTTAAGACAGTTGTATTTCGCGCGCGTACTGAAAACCGATGTGACGCGCCACCTTTCTCATTTTCCACTTGCTTCCAGCCCCGGAACGCACCCTATCCCTCTTTTGACAAGATGTTTTAAGTTAACGTGCTCGCGGAACGCCGGCGACTCTTCACTTGATTAAGCCATTGAATTAAGGCATCCCCAGGCACTTCTTCGGCTACTGTCATTCCTACTGCTTCCCGAGTCGGGCGAGCACTACATAATCACAATGAGGACGTCGAGCAAGCCGCGGGATGACGGCCCATTCCGACGCAACACGTGGTAAGGGGTGCATCGCGATCACCCCGCGTGCAGAATCCCTGTCGCAGAAGGTGCGCGTCACCATCCCCACGTTTCAAAAACCACACGCTCACTTACCACGTCCCGTATCCCTCACGTGCCAAAAGCCCTGTCCTCACTCTCCCCGTCTCACCCTCTTCGGGCGTAGACTTATCTGTTAAGGGTGTACAAAGGATCATTTAAAGAAACGACACAATAGATTGCTTGCATGTGACGTCATTCGCGGCCATGCCGGGATTTTCGCCGCTTTCGTTTTTCGCCGTCTTATTTGCAGACCGCAAAAATTGCTGTTCGCAGAAACCAGTAAATAGAAATAACCGTCCGTACCAAGCAATGGGGACACTTGCAAGCTATGTATAAGGTTAACTTGAACGGCTGAAAAAATTAAAATGACGTACAGGTTCCCAATAGCATAAATCTGCATCATCAGCAATGCACCCGGCTGTCACGGAAGGAGCTCACACGCAGATTTAGACTAGAACAACGCAAGAAAAATAGAACTGCTGCTTGGCGCTGTGATAAGTATGGCTCCATTAGCGGTTGATTAACAGTGCTGATAGACCCTACTTCGTTGGATCTGTGAATCCGCGCCTGCTTTAAAGCCGACTAAAGCTTTGGTTCAATGCTTATTGAAAAAATCCCTCACTTCAAACGTTTTGCGATGTAAGGTATTGTTTGCTTATTTTCACTTCTAACTGTGAAATACGTAAAACTGTTTAGTTTTAGTCTCAAGAACGGAAAGTATTGTTCAGTTATTTTTTACTTGAGTCTCGGGAAAGACACGATTATGCTGTACATGATCGCGTGAACGCTTTGCTAGAAGCAGAATGCCCCGCCGTGAGATTGAAGACCCGGCCACCTGACACGAAGACTCGAGTGATGGGCTTCTTAAACTGGGGCCATTGAATGAGGGGCGAAATAGACACGGAGTTTGCCGCTGGGCATTTGACACAGAGTTTTTGCCAGCGGGTGCTTTTGCGGTCCACCCGTGGTTGGTACTGCGTCGAGAACGTCGTCAACTCCTTTGCCACAGCCACAAGTATTGGACACGTAGAACAGTTTGATGAATCTACCAGTGACTAAATTTACTTTGAAGAGCACTTGGTAGCCTATTTACGGGCCAACATAGTTCCGAAAGACCTCGAAGTGGATGCCTTCGTGAGTTTGATCGGTCCAAAAACTTACTCCTTCCTCAAGTCTTTGACCGCTCCGGAAACCCCATCGTCCGTCTTTTGGCGCATTGCGTAAACTACTTCTTGGCCACTTTTCGCCCAGGTCGTGCGTTATTGGCGAGCGTGCTAAATTTCACCATTGGTTGCAGTACAAAAATGAAGCCATTTCACAGTTCGCAGCCGAGATACGACGCCCTTCGTAAACGTGCGAATTCGGAACCCTCTTAGGTGAGTCACTCCGAGACCTCTTTTCTTGTGGCCTTCAACGAGTTGACGTTCAGAGACACTTGTTCACTAAAAATAAGCACTTAACATTTCAGAAGGCGATTGAACCTGCCTCATAACTTGACGCAGATGTGAAGAGCGCGACGGAAACCCATTCAATGTTGGACAGTGACATGGCACTACACAGGCTGCGCAGCTCGAATTCCAAGTCACGAGCAATGACGGTGCATTGCTATCACTGCGGATCTCAGAAGCACAGCGCTATTCCTGTATTACCAGAGAATACCAAAGGAGGAAGAAAGCTTTATTGAGTTTTTTTTTTTTTGTTCTTTTTTCTTAGTTGCCATGCACACCGAACAAACCTTATAATTACAGCTACCCTGGCACAAGGTACCGGAATATGTGCTGTTCGCGGACTCTTTCCTGAGGACTCAGACCGGCAAAGTTCAGAAGCATAAGATGCGCGAGGAGAGCAAACGTCTCCTGAACTTGGGAAGAACAACCATCGCGGTACAAAGAAAAACACAATACATGCTTTGTAAAAGCCTAATTCGACTCGCATTAATCGCCCAGGTCACCCGAAAGGTCCAAGGCCCGTTAATAAAATGCAATAAAAACATCCTGCACTTCTTTGTTAGTTATTTACGTACTGTCCGCCCAGTACCTAATATATAAACCTTGCACCCGTTCATCGATGGGATGACATCTGTGGAATGCCATTTTGGGATACGAATTAGAAACTGGAATGTTTACATATATGGTGTTAATGGGTTGAATTTGATGCGAAAAACACAACGTTCCTATGTGGCTGGAGAGCTTTAGACGCAAGCAGAGGCAACATAAAACATGCATTAGCCCAGAGCAGGCGATGCACGAGCAAACAAGACATATATAAGGTATTCATACATAACCAGGCACAATTAGTCGCAACCTGCAATATCTCAAGGGGGCTCAATGGAAATCCAACCCCATACCATGCGATTAGCAAGCCGACGCCTTTACTCAGCGCCACAATGAGCAGGTGAAAGAAGGCACAGGCAGCTGGATTAAGTACGACTCCCGCTGACGGTCGCCTGGAGTAGCACGTGTCTGTCGGCTGCGAGTGATAACCCAGGCGTACTCAGTACGCAGGAGGTCGTCGACGGTGACTCATACTTGGGTCGGCGTACTTAGTCTGCAGTCGGCATTCAGCAGCAAGTTAAACATAGCCCGGCATATTTAGTCCGCAGGCATGCTTTCAAAGCAAAGAAAACTTAGTTCAGCGTACGTTTCCTGTAGATGGCCGTCGGCAGCAAGTCGTATTCAGTCGGGTGCACGTTTCTCGAAAAAGTAATCTATTAAAATTACAACTTATTTTGATCAAAATGTTGTCAGTTAGATTATCTGACTACGTAAGAAAAGAAAACGTGATTGGCTGTTATTTGAAATAGTGACCCTTACTTTTCTATAACTTCAGATTTTTTTACAACATTCTTTTTCTCGGTTTGAAACATGGTCTTTCCTACAGCTTAGACATTGATTAAATTTATAATAATAATAATAATCCTTTAATTGTAGGCGCAGAATTACAAACTACTCATCTTCGCAAATCCACCACTTTCGGTGAACCATCCTCCTGTAGGAGACTTCCTTACAGGATTTCTTAGTAAAGACGTTGGAGAAAACATGGGTGTTAACCGCCTA